AATATCCTCCTGCAGGGGGGCAGGCCCGACTCAAGGCAAGCGTCGACATGCATGCAGACTGGGCGCTCTACGCAAGCCCAGGGGGGGGCCCTCCTGCTGCTTGACCTGCTCCTCGATCTTGGTGCCCATGATCTTCGAGTTGCTCAGGGTCTCGATGAGCTCCTGGAGGCCGCGGGTCGCCCAGTGGAGACAAAGAGAGAGAGAGAGAGAGCCAAACGGACAGCCCACGACTCGCCGACCTGCCTCGTCGGAGGTGCAGGCGCAACAAAGACGCCACGAGAAGAGCCTCACCTCACGATGAAATGCCCGCAAGTAAAGTGACACAAACGCAAGGAGGCGGCCGCACAGGCTGGAACAACGAGTGGCGACGAGGAGCATCGGAGCCCTACAGTGGTGACGGCAGCGACGGTGGCGGTGGTGCCTTTGCCCTCCTTCACATAGTGTGGCTGGACGCCTTGGCCCCTTGCTGGGGCTCTTCCTTCCGCCCCATCCCCCTCCACTCCTCCACCTCCCCCATGTCCTCCCTGTCCCTCTGTCCTCTTGCATGCTCACAGTGCGATGTGCGAGTGTGGTGATACCCGCCGCCCAGCAATGGCCTGTGCACAGTTGCTGCGTTCCAGCGCACATACATTCAGCATACAGTGGAGGCCCGACCACCAGGAACCTTCCTCAAGAAACCCAACCCTGACCCCAGGACGTCCATTGACTCTTGGTGAGGGAACGTCACGCTTCCCATAGAAAAACCATCGAAACCCAAAGAACCCAGGGAACCCTGGAGGCAAGCAGGGTTTCTTGGCATGGGGCTCCACTGTAAGTGTGTTCCAAACTTCTCTGCCATTCGTTTCCAACTCAACGTGTGCCGACACGCCGTCCAGGCGCGGCTTCCCCTGAGATCTAGCGAAAAAAATACGACATCGAAAAAAATGACGCCCAAAGCCCTAGACCCCATTTTTCTGCGCCATTTTTCGACGCCGGATCGATCCGTGAGGTTCCCAGGGCCCGAAAAGGCGGAAACGCCCGGCCCGAAGGAATCGAGACGCCAGGAGCTCAGGGTATTCCTGCCCTGTGCTGCCCACCCTCGCCATCCCCTTCCCTGCCGCCAGAGCATGGCCGCGAGAGCGCGGGTCAAGAAGACGAGCCGCCCTCCGGCCGACGGCGCAGGGTCTCCCCTGGAGAGAGAGCCCCGAGCCCAGCCGACTCCAAAGTGGCATGGGACGCACATAGATATACTAGTACTATATGACCTCCGTGGAGGCGCGCGCGTCCTCCTTTTCCGCCTCCTCCTCCTCCTCCTCCTCCTCCTCCTCCTCCTCCTCCTCCTCCTCCTCCTCCTCCTCCTCCCCCCCTCCCCTCCTCTCCCGCTCTTTTCGTCTTCGATTCTCCCCCCTCGGGCACGCCGTCGGCCTTGCGGCGGCTCCCCCCTGGGGCCAGGGCGGGCGAGGCGAGGGCGCGAGGGGAGACGGGGGAGGGGGGGGGGCGTCGCCGAGCCAGTGGCGGCGGCGGGGCAAGGCGAGCAGCGGCAGGTAGGAGGAGGAGAGAGGGGGAGGGAGAAGGGAGGGAGGGAGAGAGGAAGGGAGGGAGGGGGAGGGAGGGAGGGGGAGAAATCCGTAGCCATTTTGGCTCAAGTCCGTAGCCACTGGCTCGGGCTTGGAGTTATTCTGGCGTGGGGGAGGTGCGCCCCCATCAGTTCCTGGCGTGGGGGAGGTGCGCCCCCATCAGTTCACCCCAGCATACCTGTGTACTGTACACTCCCCACTGCTACTCTTGCGATAGACTCACTGTTCTGGGTGCTTGTCCGTCATGGGTGGCAATGGTCGCGGCAACGGTGGCTTCATCCGTAAACCGTGGAGTTTGCAGACGTGGTCTTGCTCGGTCAAGAAGTGTCAGTTCTCGAATAACTTCCAGTGGCGCAAGACGTGCTACTGTTGTGGAGCCCCCCGTCCAGCAGCCCCTGGTGTCGTTGCAGCAAAGCCCCCTGGGGGCGCGTGGGCTAATGGGCCGCCGAAGCTTCGTGGGGGAGGCGTTGGCGGTGGGGGGGGCTCATCACACACCTCCACATCCGATTCTCTCGATGATAAGCAGATTGAAGCGTTCTTGGTCATGGATAGTGATCAGTTTGATGCCCTCTCTGGTCTTATTCCTGTGGCTGTTCGGTCCAAGGTGCTGGCACGTCGTGCTGTGCGCAGTGGCGACCCAATGGCTGTCTCGAAAGAGGCCAAGATGGAGCACGACACGCTCAAGGCGAAGGTGCAGAAGGCCGAGACGGCCTTGGACAAGGCCCGTGGCCACCTCATGCTGCAGATCGAGCGCGTCCACAAGCTGCAGTGCGAGTTCGATGCCCTGCAGGTGCAGGAGCGCGAGGCTGCCAAGCGTGCGGCCACGGCCTTCACCAAGCTCTCGGGGCAGCAGCAGGCCAACGGTGACGCTGATGACCCCGCAGCTGCGCTCCGTGACCAGCTGCAGAAGCTCGGTGTCAACCCCTCCGTGCTCAGCGACTTCGACACGCTCATCACGCAGCGGGACCTGGCCGTCGAGCGCCAAGCCAAGCAGGCTGCCGAGGCTGCGGCGGCCGAAGCAGCTCAAACTGCTGAGAGTGGTGCTGGCCCTGGCGCTGATGGTCAGCCTGGTCAGCCCCCGCCCGGGGCGAGCGACAGCAAGGACGACGCCATGGACGGCAAGGGCATCAGCTTTGCCGACCTCGACGGCGAGTGGATCGACGACCTCGTCGCCAAGGCTGGCCAGCGCGAGGCCGTGGACCTCAGTGCAGAGGATGCCCCTGATGCTGGCAGCCACGGCATCACACGCAAGGCAGTTGAAGCCGCCCTGCAGCACGCCTTGGAGCGCGTTAAGAAGCCCAAGGTGCAGCAGCGCGGGTAGCAGTGAGCCCTCTGAGCCGCGCGCCTGGTCTTTTGTGACGTGCAACGTCACTGAGCGTGCTGGGCTTGACATTTTCCTCTCCTCCTCCCTTGCCAGTGCTGACGTGCTGGCTCTTCAAGAATCTCATGTTGTCGACGCTGAGCCACTCGAAGCTCAACTTCGGAGTCAGGGTCGACGTGGTCGAGTCTTCCCTGCTGTGCCCACAGGACGAGGTGGCACATCAGGTGGAGTCATTCTTTCGGTACCCAAGCATATTGGTTTATCGGCTGTCTTTGGGACCCCCGATACTCTGGAGCCTGGGCGCCTGGGGCTTTTGCACTTTGGAGGCATCCTTCCTGGAGGCGTCCTGATTGCTAGCATCTACCTTCATCACAGTATCGGGCTAGCCACGCAAAACTGGGCCATATTGTGTCGTCTTGGAGGTGTTTTGAGGACCCTGGGGATGCCGTTCATTCTGGCTGGGGACTTCAACCTGGAGCCTGAGGTGTTAGATTATAGCGGATGGGTTTCAGCCATTGACGGGGTCATTATCTCCACCAGTGATGGAACATGCCGTCCAGCCGATCGTGTGATCGATTATTTTGTTGTCAGCCGTGAGCTTGCGCCGTATGCCACTGCTGAGGTTGTGTACTCTGTTCCAGTTGCACCTCACTACCCTGTCAGGATGTGCCTTCGTACGCCTCGTAAGTCTGTGAAGGTTCGCGTCGCCCAGGTCCCCAAGAGGTTTCCTGTGCTTGTTCCTGCTGGGCCCCGTCAAGCACCTGATGAGCATCGGTGGGACCGCGCTCGTGCTGCCGTTGAGTCTGGTAAGATAGCGGAGTCTTGGGACTTGTTTATTACGGCGGCCGAGTTGGAGCTGCTTGAGGTTTATCAAATCGACCCCGATCTGGCCTCTGGTTTTTGTGGGCGCCGTGGGCCCGTACGTTTTCGCTGGGTTTCTCCTGGACGTCCTGGACCACCTGCGTTTCCTCGGGTCAGTCCGCCTGCAATTTGGTGGCGAAACGTGTCGCAGTTGTTTCAGGCTATATCCCACCCATGTACGCTAAGCAGGACTCGGCAGATCGTGCGAGCAGCTAGGAAGTTGCAGGCCTCGCCCTTGGTCCAGTCTGGCTACATGGCGCAGTTCTGCGTCATGCTGGACTACGTGCAGCACTGTGATATGTGCTACTCTTTTGCCCAGGTGCTGTCTGCTATGGCTAATGATCAAGCTTTATCTCTGACTCGTGCGGCCGCGTTGCACAAGACGGCCGGGCGGGAGCAATGGGTCAGAAAGCACTCGGTCAACGGTTCGGCTGCTCTCTTTAAGTATATCAAGCTTCCTGATGCATGGCAGTCTTCCACGCTGGTTCAGTACGCTCCTGCCAACTCGATGCAAGAGGTCGATATCCTTCAGGCTGAATGGGCTAAATGGTGGCAGATCGGGGAAAAGCATCCTCCCCTCTCCTGGCCCCTCAACCTTGGGGAACGCCCTCCTGCCCCCACCCTGGAGCACCTCAAAAAAGTCCTCCAGACGTTCCCAGAGGGGACGGGAAGTGGTTTCGACCAGTTGCCACCGCGTCAGCTTTTAAGACTCCCTGATGAAGCCCTGGAGTTGTTATGTCAGCTTCTCTCTGCGATAGAGCACCAGATCGAGTGGCCGCCGATGACCACCCGCATCGTGTTCATCCTTAAGCGGCTTGGTGGAGTCAGGCCGCTTGGACTTATGCACTGTCTGTGTCGGGTTCAAGCTAGGCTCCGTCGGGATGTACTGCAGGCTTGGCAGAAAGCTAACTATAGATATTTCTGGTGGGCTATTCGGGGCAAGTCGGCTGAGCTCTCGGTCTGGCTTCAAGCGGCTTGGGCTGAATATCATACTGATACGGGCTCGGATACGGCTACGCTGCTCGTCGATCTCAAGAAGGCTTTCGAACTCGTTCGGACTGAGCATCTTATCCGAGCCGCACATAAAACTGGGTTTCCGCTTTGGCAACTTAAGCTTTTGGTTCAGGCATATCGTGCCCCTCGCGTTTTGGAGATGCAAGGTCTGTGCAGTGAGCAGTTGTCGGTCGAGCAGACCATCCTTCCAGGCTGCCTGTATGCCACTTGCCTTTTGCAGCTGATGCTCATAGGTCCTCTCGATGAGGTTCGGAGGGAGCATCCTACGGTTCCTCTTGCTGTTTGTGTCGACGACCTTAGCCTTCAGAGGAGTGGAGGAGCACGACGTGTTGTTGATGAGTTAGCAGCAGCAGGTGTGCTTCTGAAGGCTGAGTTGCACAGAGTCGACATGATCATAGCGCTTGACAAGTCACGTGTGCTAGCGAATTCGCCCGAGCTGCAAGCCGAGCTACAGCGACGATTGGTCAGTGTACGCGCACTTGCAGTGCATTCAGAACGCAATCTTGGAGTTGATTTTTCGGCAGCTCGCGCTACCCGTCGGCGGACCCGGGCTGCCAGGATCCCCGTGGCCAAGGCCAAGTTGAAAAGACTAAGGCATCTACAGGGGGCTAGTGCTAGGAAGAAGACGTTGCAGCACATGGCGCGCGCGGCTATCGAGACCACGGTCACGTTTGGCACGAGCGTTCAGGGCACGAGCATGACTGAGCTTGACACGCTGCGCACGCTTGCTGCTGCTGCTTTGGATTCTCGTTCGTCTGGGCGTTCACGCACTATGGCACTCCTGCTCACGCCGTCCCCTCGCATGGATCCCATTTATCGGGCCACCTTGGAGCCCGTCAAGGCCTTCATGCACGTCCTCTGGAGGAACCTCATGCCGCAGCGCACCCTGGAGAAAGGTATTGCCGCTGCAGCTGCCAGGCTGGGTCCCCACAGTTCTCCATGGCAAGCCATCAAGGGGCCCTTCTCCGCGCTCTGGGCGTCGCTGCATAGAGTTGGCATTGATTGTAGTAATCTTCGTGGGTGGATCTTCCCGAATGGCCAGGTTGTCAACCCCTCGGAGCTCTGCCCTAGGTCCGTCGAGGCCCTTGTCGAGCGAGCTGTCGTGTCGTGGCAGATGCAGAAGATCTCCCAGCACTTCGAGGCTCCAGAGTTCCTGGAAGGCATCTGGATCGAACCCTTGCGCTCGCTGTGTTTCTCGCGGTTGCTCACGGCCTCCGAGGGGGCCTACCTGCGGTCTGTGGCCATAGGTGGTCAGTGGCCGCAAGCACGACAGCATGCGCAGGGTTGGGTCGAGTCTCCCGAGTGCCTCATCTGTCATGATGGTGACGGCACTCTTGCACATAGGCATGCGCGCTGCTCGTGCATTGAGGAGCTGGGCACTCCTGTTCCCGAGCGAGTTGCACTGTTGTCTGCGCAGGCCTTTCACAACAAGCTAGTTGAGATCTTCCTTGAGCGCGGAGTTCTCGGTAAGCCTCGAGTTCCTCCTGACTTGTTGCAGTGGTCGTTGCAGCCATACTATCGGTGGGAAGGTAACCCTGTGAATCTAACTGGTGACGTCTTTGTGGACGGGTCGCTCTATGAAGATCTCCCCACGTACCCAGTTGCAGGCTTCTCGTGTGTCTCCCTCAAGCCCAATGGCGATGTAGTTGCCACTGTTCTCACTGGCGTGCTGCCAGGACCGCATCAAGATATTGATGGTGCGGAGTTGTACGCGTTATATGCTGTGCTGTTGCACGCTACGCCGCCAGTGATTGTCCACTCCGACTCGTCGTTCGTCGTGAAAGGGGTCAATCTATGGGGCAGGGAGCACACTACTGCTGCGGGCTTTTCTTGGGCTCATCTCTGGAGGCTCGTCTGGGACAAGCTCGACGACTGGGGCGACGGGGTCCAGGTCATTAAGGTCAAGTCCCACGTCACCCAGAAGGCTGTCTTGGAAGGTGTCCAGTCCTCTCGGCATACCTTTGGGAACAAGTGTGCAGATGAAGAGGCCAAAGTTCGTGCTTATGATCGCAGGCCGGCCCTCCAGTTTCAGAAGCTGACCGCTCAGCATCAGAAGTTCGTGCGAGGCCTCGGTGTGTGGATCGCGCAGGTTGGTGCGGTCATGGCCGAGACAGATTGCTTGCATCGAGTGAAGAGGCCACGGCGTGAAGCTCCTCCCTCACTCAAGCCTGTCAAGCCCCAGCCGCTCACCTTAGCTGAGAGAGTTGCCCAGTCCCAGGTGCCCCTCTTGGCCAAAGGTTTACGTTTTCACCAGCTTTACGCTTTTTCGGTCCCGACCCAGCCGAAACCTACCGAGGTTGTTTGTTGTGGCAGGTGCGGGGCCTTTGCGTCTAGGAGGCTGGTCTCCCTTGCTGGGCCTTGCCCTCCACGAGTCCCCAAGTGGGCCCACACTATTGCCAAGAGGCTCGACAAAGGGGAATTTAAGCTAGATAAGGTTGTGCATTGTGTTTCTGATTTGCGACGGCTGCCGCCGCCGACCCTTTCTGATGAGCGTTTGCCTGTTGAAGCGGCTGCTGCAGCGGCGGCCGCTTCTTCTTCCACTGATGCGAGACGGCCCATGCGGCCGTCCACTGGCGATGATGATAGGAGTGCCATGCGTGCAGGCTCTGCCAGTGACGGCCCCAGGCATGAATGGGGCACGGCGCACTTTCCTCCATCTGAGCCATCTTCCATGTTGGACGTCGCTGCTGCTGCCGCCGCGTCGTCTGCCTCTTCCTCTTTGCCGCCCCGTCCTGCCCAGCACGCCATCGGTGCGTGCCCGCAGCTGGAGGCCGTCCGTCAGCGCCTTCGGTTGGAGGGTGGTGGCGGCGGGGACAGGATGGAGGATGAGGTTTCAGAGGGCTCGGACTAACCGCAGAATGCGGTAAACCTGTCCGTGCCTTTCTGCTTTTGCGCTGTTTTTTCGGCCCCTGCCGAGCAGGCCCTGAGCCTGATGTCCGATCCGCGCGGCCATAGGCGGTTGCAAGGTGCGCCGATGGCCGCGCGTTTCACTCGGTGGCGGTGGACAGACTCTGTCGGCCGCTAGCTGGTGCCCAGGGAGGGAGGGGGAGGGGGAGGGAGGGAGGGAGGGAGGGGGAGGGAGGAAGGAAGCAGGGGGGGGGCGAGGCGGGGCCCAGGCGCCGAGGCGCAGTCGAGGCTGATCAGAGAGGAGAACACTCCTGGGAGGGCACAAGATCCTTCCGAGGGCTACACCCTGCGAAATGCTTAAGAAATCATGGGATAAGAATTTCAGAGTCTCAGAAATTGAATAAAACCCAGAACTTCTATCAAAATCTTGGGATTTACATTGAAAAGTTAAGAATAATCGAGACTCTGGACGAAAACTTAGGTTTTCTTAAGCATCGCCTAGGGTGTACGGTACCATAAAAATGTAGAAGGCACGGGTCGCGAAACACGAGGGCACCCTTGATTCAGCATGGCTGGCCCACTCATCAGCCTTGGCTGCACCTACGCCCAGAAGGACGCCCTTCCGAGGGCCACATTACCATAAAAATGTAGAAGGCACGGGTCGCGAAACACGAGGGCACCCTTGATTTAGCATGGTTGACCTACTGATCAGCCTTGGCCGCACTTACGCCCAGAAGGACGCCCTTCCGAGGGCCACATTACCATAGAAATGTAGAAGGCGCGGGTCGCGAAACTGAGTATCGTTTAACCGATCGCCATACCCGGCGTCGTGGCCTGGGCCCCACTGGTCGATTTGCCCCCCTAGATGGGGGTATAGGTCTTTCCCTTCGGGTTTCGAGGGGTGTATCCCCAACTGGGGGGGTAATTTGGGGGTCTCGAAGGGGATGAGGATGAGGATGGGGGTCGGTCAAACGATACTGAGAAACACAAGGACACCCTTGATTTAGCATGGTTGGCCTACTCATCAGCCTCGACTGCAGTTACGCTCAAAAAGACGCCCTTACGCGAGCAGGGCAGTTGGGCCAGAGCCCAGGATGCACTTTGGATCCCTGTGTGATTCATGAGCGTGAAAGCTCGCGGAGGAGGACGGAGGGCGACGACGACGACGACGAAGGGCAAGAACCGGCGCAACAGGGGGTGAGGAGGTTCGAACAGAATATTCACCAATTTGTCAGCCCCAAGACGCCCGCCTCAGGCTCCAGCGCCGCTGAAAAATGCGCCCAAGACCTCTGAACACCTGTTCGGTCGGAGGTGAGATAAGAGGCAGGAGGCAGGAGGACCAGGTGGACCAGGAGGACCAGGAGCCACATACAGTGCGTGTCGTGGCGACTTCTGCGTCGGCTTCTGACACCGCGTGGATCGTTCAACCTTGAACGATAGCGGCCGTCCAATGACACGAACCGTTGAACATCGGCCAATTCTGGGCTGGCGGGGTTTGAACCTTGAACCCGCGTGGATCGTTCAACCTGGAGCGATCGCGGCTTCCAACGACACGAACCGTTGAACATCGGCAAATTCTGGGCTGGCGGCGTTGAACCTTGAACGCCCAGGGTCGCTGCCGCGCCGACACCCGTAGGAGTTAAGAGGAAGAGGAGCAGGAGAAGGAGGACCAGTGTAAACCCGAGAACCATTCACGATGTTGGAATACACCCTCCCTCCAAGCTCCCTCTTCGTAGGCCCCTACTGCCTCATCGAAGACAACCTTTTGAAGACCCTGAAGCATGCCAAAACATTGTTCTCGGGATTCCAACGCCACGGATCAACCTGACTGTTGCGTCTTGTCGATCCTCGATCGTGCCAGAACGCCGTTCTTGGGATTTCAACACCGCGAACCAACGTAACTGTTGCACCCGCAAAATCCTGAACCCTTCCAAAACACCATTGCTGGTACGCGGATCATGGGAACCCGTGAAAATCTTGCAAATGTTATGAACGAATGTGCACGGCGCTAAGGCGAAAACCACATTTTGAAAAGGAACCGTCCTCAATACGTGGAGCGTTTGCATGCTGTTCAAATGAATGTGCGCGGCACTAAGGCGAGAGCCATATGATGAAAACGGGTTGCCATCAATCCGTGAAATTCTTGCAAATGCTAGAAACGAATATGTGCGCGGCGCTAAGGCGACAGCCACATGTTGAAAACGGGTCGCCCTCGTGTTGAAAACGGGTAGTCCTGAATCCGTGGTACTGTTGCAAACTTGTATATCGAATGTGCGTGGAACTAATGCGAGAGCCACATTTTGATAACCATCCACCCTCCACATGTGAAACTGCTGCCAACTTTTAAACTTCAGAATCATAAACGGTGAGGAAGTCGTAGACAAAACGCCCGGCCCGCCCTAAAAACTGGCCTCGGGGTGCGACAGGGAGAAATCATTTCCAAGGAACAAATGGAGGAGGAGGAGGAGGAGGAGGAAGAGGAGGAGGAGGAGGAGGAGGAGGAGGCGGAGAGGGAGGAGGCGGAGGAAAGAGAAGGACGAGGAGGAAGAGGAGGAGGAGGAGGAGGAAGGCGAGGAGGAAGATGGGGAGGGGGAGGAGAAAGAGGAGGAGGAGGAGGAGGAGGAGGAGGAAGAGAAGGAGGAGGAGGAGGAGGGGGAGGAGGAGGAGGAGGGGGAGGAGGACAAGCTAGGTGCGCTCGCGTCATATCTGACATCCTACCCCTCCCTCCCATCCCTGACCATGGCGTAGATCCCCTCTCCACTCGCACAGTAGGATGTCGAGCAGGGCAATGATCCCGAAAGGGTACGCGATGCATTGTAGAGCACGGCATGGCATGGCGTAGAAGAGCACCGCAAAGCGTAGTATGTCACAGCATGGCGTGGCGTGAAGAATTGCATCACAAAGCTTTGCAATGCAAAACATGGCATCGCACAGCGGCCCCGAACATAACATTGCATAGCATGGCGTTGAAGATCAAAGCGTAGCAGGGCATAGCACGACGTGGCACTTAAGCACTGCATATCACAGCTTCAGCTGAAGGCATGGCATCGCGCAGCGGAACGCAACCTAGCATTGCATTGCATGCCGTGGCATGGCACGGGAAATGACGCCAGCGCTGCAGCGGGAGCACGGTTCGGAACGAGCGGAAGCGCGGAAATGAGTCCAGCGCTGCAGCGGGAGCACGATTCGGAACGAGCGGAAGCACGGGAATGAGGCCAGCGCTGCAGCGGGAGCACGATTCGGAACGAGCGGGGCCCGAAAATGAGGCCGGCGCCTCAGCGAGAGCAGCATTTTGAAAAAATGCAGGCGAAAACCCAACTCTGGGGAATCCTGTGTAAAAAAAAGTACGCGGGGGGGGGCGAACACTCCCAACCCGTCATCAGGGGAAGGAGGAGAGTAGTACTCATATTGAGTAAGTGTAGAGGAGGAGGAGGGGGAGGAGGAGGAGGAGGAGGAGGAGGAGGAGGAGGAGGAGGAGGAAGAGGAGGAGGAGGAGGGGGAACAGGGGCCGCAGACTTCGTGGAACACCCGCTTCCCGGCTCGGCCGACTCCCCCCATGCGGGGCCCGCGCCCCAGGGCACGCCCGCACAGAGCCCCCACGAGGCGGCACCTGCCGAGCGAAGGCCACGGGTGAGGGGCAGCGACGAGGGGGGACTGGCAGAAGGGGGGGTGATGCATCGACCTGGAATCGGCGATGCATCGCCGATAAATCGACGATACTGTGAAAACGTATAGTTAGGACGCGAGGTAAGGACGCAAGACCCTTGGAGGCCGAAGTTGGGTTTTTTAGGGCGGCGGGCGACCAGTGATAATGGCAGGGACGAGCCTCAGAGGCAAGGACTCAAGGGTACCCTAGATGAAGGCGCGCGTCCTTACTAGGCGCGTTGACTGTAGGCCCCCGATGGTGAATCCGCACCTTCCTGTGCAGGCTGGGGCTAGCGGGCCCCCACTGGCGGTCACTGGGCAGATGGGGTGTCGATGCATCCCCCCACGCGCCTGTCCCCCCCTATCGTTGCCCCCGCATGGGCAAAAGCAGCCAGCATCGGGCTGGAAAACCGGGTCGAACCGGAAAGGGCGCACGACGGCGCCACGCAAACAGTCGCTCGATGCGCACGGCCGAGATCCGCGCCACCGTGCCCCTGTGGCACGAGGTGGAAGGTCCCCAGGTCCCGTGCTCGACCCCCGGGCCTCAGTCCTCAATCCCGAGGCTCCTTTGCCAGAGGCGCAGGGGGAGAGCAACACCATGGACTCAGGTGCGCCGAGGATCCGTGTCTTCGAAACAAAGGCTCCCGGGCGAACACACAGAAGGTCCGCCCCTGGGCTATTCGCCCCTCTCGTCGCCTCCGATCTTGAGGGGCCTGGCGCCCCGGCTCCCAAGTCTTCTTCGGTTCCCGGCGTGCCTCCCAGCGGCTCATGGCATCCCCCGCACCACGCTTCGGGGCCGACGGGGGGGACCCCAGGACGGGCCGAGAGGGCCCCAGGAGGCCCCCAAGACGGTTTGAGAGGGCCCCGGATCGACGAACAAAATCGGACCAAGACGCCCGAGATGGCCCATGGTCGGCCAAAAAAGGCGCCCAGGACGTGCCAAGAGGCCTCCCAGAGGCTCCCCGACAGGGCCCCGACGGGCCAAGAATCATTGGTTGTTTCTGGGTTGGTCACTGCTTTGGGCTATCCACATGTTGAGCCTCCGACGCTCCAGGATCCAAGACCGCCCCGAGACGACCGCGGGCTTCCAAGAGGGCCCCAAGACGGCCCAAAAGTGCCCCACGACGGCCCCAACAGGGGCCCAGAGGTCGTCGAACTCTGGCTCTACTGCCCTCATCCCTCTCGGATGGTACGAACTCAACCTTGAGTCTGATCCCGCACCTGCACTTTGAACGTATTCCTTACGCTTGGGAAAATCAGGCTTGACGCTTTCGACGGCGTCGGGGGCCGTTTCTTTTTGCTGTTTGGCCGTAGCCAACACTTCGGGCGCGTCAAATGGCACTGGGACCTTATGTGTTGTGTCATCCTCGCCTCCGTCAACAGAGTCGACGAGACTGGCGCCAAAGGCACCGTGACCCGCCGGTTCAGCCTCAGGATCGTCCGAAACAACCTCGAAGACTTCGGAAATCGCATCCTTGATCTCAGCATCATAGTCATCTGGGGACCCCGTCACATTGTCAATCACATACGCTCAACATGGGGCTCTCATGCCATCTGCTGGCGAAGGCCCCACGTTGCGCGCTAACGAAGTCCACTTCTGGTTTGGCACGTTTCTTGCTAGGCTCCCCCGGCATCGATCGGGAGATGGTGGATACTTCAGATCCTTGTTCTGATGACCGAGGAGACTCCTCCCTCACTGGAAGCATCCTCGAGTCCATGATTTTCTATCTGGGAGCAGTGGACAGGTCACAGTATTCCACGCCCTCTTCTGGGGTCTTTCTGACGCAATCACCTAACGACCCGTCGAACTTCGCACTCTCACCACAGCTACTATGATTATTCGAGCTGCTGCTCATGTGGTGATCACCATGGCTCACTGCGTCACGTTCCGTATCCATCAGACCTTCGGACAGTAGACTGCATCCCACCAGATTGCCAACACTTCCTCACGAATGAGCATCTACCTTGCTCCGACCTCCTAACACTGAGGAACCCTTCGTGTGGATGGTGCCGATGGATGGGCCCTCAACGAGGTCGTCAGACATGGCTGCGGTGCTCCGTGAGAAGCTGCGCGAATGCTTGGTGGCACGCGAGCGCCGGGAGAGAGGCGCGCGCAGTCTTGCCGCTTAGACGACGACTGCGCCCTGCCCGCACAGCTGTCTTGAGCCACGCGCGTGTGGCGGCACGCGTGCAGAAGCTCCGGAGAGCGGCGGAGGCAGCGAAGGCAACGACGTCCTCGTCGTCCAGGATGTTGCCCGTGGACGAGCTCAGGAGGGCCAGGATCTTGTCCTCCTCTTTCTTCAGCGAGGCCTCGCACGGCCGCGTGCGCCGAGGCAGGTGCTCCCTCGCTCCCCCCCCCATCATTCTCCTCCCTCCCTTCCCCCCCTCGCTCTCCTCCTCCGTCCCATCCCCACCCTCCTCGTTTCACCACCACCCTCCCTCCTCTCTCTCCCTCCTCATCTTCCATCTCCTCCTCCTGCTCCTCCTCCTCCACCTCCTGCACCGATCCTGCTCCTCCGCCCTCTCCGGTACCAGACTCCCTCCTCAATCTCGCACGTGACCCTCCTCGCTGTCCTGCTCCTCCGCCTCGTTCCTCCTCCCGCGTCCCTCGTCTCTGCTCCCACCTCCTGCTTTCTCGTCTTTCTCATCTCATCTTCCCGCCGCCGCCCCCTCCTCCTCTTCCTCCTGATCCTGCTCTTCCTCCTCCTCCTCCTCCTCCTCCTCCACCGCCATCTCCTCCTCCTCCTCCTCCGCCTCCGCCTCCGCCTCCGCCTCCGCCTCCGCCTCCTCCTCCTCCTCCTCCTCCTCCTCCTCCTCCTCCTCCTCCTCCTCCTCCTCCTCCTCCTCCTCCCTCCGCCTCCGCCTCCGCCTCCGCCTCCGCCTCCGCC